ATCCTTACCTTTCACAGAGGCACTGAGTTTTATAAATATGAGCATGATAGTGTAGAATAATCATCTCCAAGGACCAGTGGTGGGTTTCAAAATATTTTGGAACCTCTTCTGTAGGTGTGGCCTGCTTTCCGGGTCCACTGGTGGAAACTCTTCTAACCAGTTCGGTAGATTTGACGAACCGGTTCTACCGAATAGGTGCGAACTGGTAGGAACCCACCTCTGATTGCAAATAAAACAATAAAAATTGTGCTCATATATACAACTAGCCCTCGACTTGCAAGAGTTTAGTGACTGTTCAAAGTTACAAGAGCAACTGAAAAATGTGACTTATGACCGTTTTTCACATTTACGACCATTGCAGCACCCCCAGATTCATGTGAAAAAAATTCAGATGATTGGCAACGGGTTCCTATTTATGATCATTGCTGTGTCCCAAAGTCATTTGGTGACATTCTGCCGAGGAAAGTCAATGGGAAAGCCAGATTCACAGTTTATTAACTTATCAATTGCAGTGATTCACTTAACAATTGTGGCAAGAAAGGTCATACAATGGGGCAAAACTCACTTAACAAATGTCTCACTTAACAACATAAATTTCGGGCTGAATTGTGGTTGTACATTGAGGACCACCTGTATTAATCTTACTCACAAATTGCAGCACAAGGGAGGGAGATCACCGGTGAAAAGAAAATGGATGAAAGCAGAAATGGTTTCCGCCAGGAATGTATAGAAAATGGATGAACGATGAATGGATGGAAGGCCAAATGTTACCTTTACTTCTATATTACGAAGTGTGCTGCTCTGCTAGCAGATTTTAGAAACCACGCTATAGCTTGGTTAGAGTACATGGGTTTGGATAAATAGGATTTGTGGAGCAAAGAGATTTGGATAGCTTAATCTAAGGGATCGTAACAGTCTCAGGTAGAGAAAGTCCTCTTAAAAGTGTTTGTTTTTAATTCTTTCAGTTCATAGCTTATTCCCTCGCTTATTCCTTTTTCACAGGCTGAAATGGTTCATGCTGCTTTCCAAGCTCAAAGGGCATTTCTTTGGTTGACCTCACGTTATCAAGAACCGCAGCAGGTAAGAAATCTTGTGGTCACCTGAAATGTTCAAAATTTTGTTGGTTGGTTTTTAAAAATGGGGGAAGTTGGCATGTTGTAACGCAAAACAAAACCAGGCTCTTTAGCTTCATTTTATTTATTTATTTTTAAATCTGGGTTCCTGTCCTTATTTAAAAAATAAAAATGATTACCTCCTGGAGCCCAGTGCTTTAGTTGGATGTATGCCCAGAGCAAAAGATCATAGCATGGAGAATGGCAGATGAATTTCTGTAGGAGGATATAGGAGTCCCATAAATAAAGTTACTGTTAAGACTTTCCCAATCTTGGTTAAATATCTGGAAATATCTCAGAATTTCTTTTGATTCTCTAAGTAATAGTTCTGATAAAGTTGCGAGGCAAGAAACCTTTATTAAACGACAACTTAATTGCATATATAAATTCTCACACACACACACCCCACACACATACAATTACTGATCCATACTTTGCAAGAGAATTACTATGTGATTTTTTTGGGGGGGTTGACTGCATATTGTGCAAACTTTATTGAGATTTGCAAACCATAATTATTATGGTTTGGTTTGGTTTTTAGTTCGATCTAGTGGTTAAGGCACCAGCCTAGAAACCAGGAGACTGAGTTCTAGTCCCATTTTAGGCATGAAAGCCAGCTGGATGATTTTGGACTAATCACTCTCACAGCAAAATACTTCACAGGGGTGTTGTGGAGAGAATAGAAGGAAGGAGTGTGTGGGTGTTCACTGCTTTGAGTTATTTATTAAAATAATAAAAGCAGGATATAAATAAATATGCAACATCCAGTTATATCATATTTAACAAATTATGATTAGCAAAGCATACTTTCATAAAATGGCCGAATGAGATATGACTGACATCTGCTTTGACTAAAACAAACCATGATTTAGTATGACGTCACAAGTTAATTATAATCGGGACTGTCTTAAATTATTTAAACAAATTTAGCATTCCTTATACTGAGATATATGGCATCTAATCTGATGTTGGAGAAAACCATGCTATGTACAAAGTGAGTGTAACTTTTTTTCTTACAAAACGCAAGGTAGCGGATTGATTCCAATATGGGACTTAAATAATTTACCCACCTTTATTACAATTTAATTCCTTTTCATTCAAGCAGGGAAAAGGGAGGAGAAAAAGTCAATTCTTTAAAATAATTACTACTGTGCTACGGAAATAATAATCCAAGTACAGCAATGGAGGCACTAAAAGTCCAAAAAAGGGGGGGGGGGAAACAGAGCAGCTGACAGCGTTCCAAGTATCATGTAGAATTAAATCAGAGTCCAAGGCAAAACGATCCTTAAAGTTCCAATTTAATAAAGCAGACATCTTAGCACATTGCTGTGGATTCCCAATTCTGGAAATTACATCAGAATTCCGCCCAGTTAAAAGTTCATGATCTTGTCCCCACACCCACAATCCATCACATGGTCCAATCTTCTTCTTCTACACTGGCATCTCCACCAAGCTGCTTCCGGTCAGGTGTAAAAGTGCGGAGACAAAAGATGACCTTGGCTTCTAGTAAAGGATGACAACAATACATTCCACAATCCTACTCTTGTCTATTTCCCCCTCCCATCAACTATTGGTTTACGAATGAAACAGCATAATGAAATAAGAGAAAGGCTGGCAGACCAAAAATCTGAACAGGGATATAATTGCAGGCCTGACAGCATCTATGAAACTTTTCAAAGATTGTCCTTCTCTCCTAAAAACCCACTAATCTTTTCTAAGACATTGACAGATTTAATGAAAGTAAATTGAGGCTAATTTTAATTAAATTTTCAGTAAAGGTTGTCCATGACTTACGACCACAATTGGCTCAAAATGTCTGTAGTTAAGTGAGACATTTGTTAAGTGAGATTTTCCCATTTTACGACCTTTCTAGGCACAGTTGTTATGTGAATCATTGCAACTGTTAAGTTAGTAACATGGTTGTTAAATTAATCTGGCTTTCCATTGATTTTGCTTATGAGAAGGTCGCAAAAGGTGATCACATGACTCCTGGACACTGCAAATGTCATAAATATGCGTCAATTGCCAAGCACCCAAATTTTGATCAGATCACCAAGGCGATGCTGCAGTGGTTATAAATATGAAAAATGGTCATGAGCCAGAGGCTTAACAACATGTATGAACTTCCAAGCTATAATACAATATTCTTAATTTCACATGCTGGCAAAATAATATTTAGGATCATCCAACACAGATTAAATTCTGGAAAAGAGATGGCACATTCAAACAATTTGGTATTCTCCAGAATTTTGCACCACAAACCCCCCCCCCCACAATTCCTGGTAGCCCCCAAGTTAGCTATTAGTAATTTAGAACCTCTAGCAACGTTGATTAATATATAGGATGTGGTGAGTCCTCTAAGTAAAAGAAAAACTTTTTTTTTGCTGTCATATATTGTAGTGTAAAATTAACACAGCTGTACGTGTGTACGTAAAGCACAGCTGTCATGCAAAATAAATATTCTGTAACAAGCGTTCGTCTGTTTCAGTAGCATTTTCTACTACAAGTGATATAATAGTTTCGTCTTGTTGAAAGCAAGAAATATGTAGGTTTCCAAATAGTGCCTTACAGCATGAAGAAAACTCGATAGGAACAAAAGAGAAAATACTTCGTTAATGTGACATCATCTGTTTTTTGTTTATACTTTAAGCTAAAGTAACAAACTTAAACAAAACCCAGACAGGTAGAAGAAGCATTAATTTTCATCAGAATTCCCAGGGAATAGAAAAGCATATTAAGATGACAGCAACCTTTGAAAATGCAAGCAGTTGTGTCAATGAGCTTTCCAGTTTTTAAACTGGTACATTGGTGATCATGTCTTCACGGCTTTGCAAATATTCAGAAACAGTGTGTGTGTGTGTGTGTGTGTGTGTGTGTGTGTGTGTGTGGTGGGGGGTTATTGCACAATTTATCCTAAAGTAATAACAGAAAACAAAACCATTAGCATTCTGAAGCATTTAGGATTCTTTAGTTCAAATGTAGTATTCCATGCCCAGCAAGTCACAAAGAAATGTTTGTTGATTGTGATTTTTCTGAGATATGTTTCTGCTAGCAAGGCTTACATTTTATTCCATCTTAAAGAGCCTGTCATTTCCCTGCATCTGCAAAAATAGCAAGAGCCAAGAAGATAATTCCAGCTGGCATGTCAATCCTGTAACAACTACAATAAATTACTTAGCAGAGTGAATGCTTTGTTCCTTTTTATGGTTATGTTCTATATTTGTATGTGAAGTGGAAATGGTCACATGAGAAAACCATCATCTGATACTACAGTTTACGTTGTACTAGCTGGCGAGTAGCTACTGCCTGCAAAATTACTCTTTGGAAAGCTGCGATTTAAACTTTTCTACTTATTTGGAATTTGTTTCGAATGCTCCAAGCAATAGGTTAAAAACAACTGTAAATGATCGTTTAAGTAAACAAGAAGTGGGAAGTTATTTTTAAAACATTTTGGAACTGGAATAAAATAAAACTAAAGTTATTATTATGTATAAAGAATTCCCACTAAAATAGTTTCCCTTACTGCATATGATTTCTGTTTATGTGATTCTCTGTTATGCAATTGATCATTTCCATTCAAGAAATCACTTTATGCAAGGAAAATAGTGCTATTATGTGATTTATGCCAGTATATTCCATTTGTTATTAAGAGCCAATGTGATGTACTGTTTAAGGCATCAGGCTAGAAACCAGGAGACAATGAAGTTCTACTCCCATCTTAGGCACAAAACCAGCTGATCTTGAGCCAGTCACTGTCTCTCAACCTCATGAAAGAACCAATGGCAAACTGAGGAAAGATTCTGAAATCTAGCCAAGAAAATAACTTCAGGGACTAATCCAGGGAGTCAAAACTGACTTGAAGGCACAAAATAAAAAAGTTCATTTGCACCAATGATCTAGAAACATATCAAGACTTCTTCCCACCAAAACTGCTTGTATTTTCCTAGCGAAACCCCTTTCTATCCTCCCTTATGCATTTATAATTGGGTTGTGCTGTTGTTCTAGTGGTGCATCTTCAATTCCATAGCAATAACACTTAGACCAGTGGTGGGATTCAGCCAGTTCGCACCTATTCGGGAGAACCGGTTGTTAACTTTCTAAGCAGTTCGGAGAACCGGTTGTTGGAAGAAATCTCCTTTTGTTTTTTTCCATTTTTGTAGGGCTAATCCTGTAAGGAAGGCAGGAGGGAAACATTCTGGTGTTGTTTCTAGCCTAATCTTTATTGCCCTGCTTACAGAAACTGCCTCTCTGGTTANCGAAACGTCTTCAAAGAAAACACCAGAAAAATCCAGGGGCCTCTTTGAAAAAAAATGAACTTTGGCACTTGAAGGACGGCAGAGCCACTTCACAACCGCGTGACTAATTTAATGACGGTAGATTCCCTTAACTCAGTGATGGCGAACCTTTTCAGCACCCAGTGCCCAAACCAGAACACGCATGCATGCACATGCGCTGGAGTGCCGGAAACCCAAAGACCAGCTGGCTGGCACGCACATACCTATTTTTTGACTGTTTTTTGGGCCGGTTTTTGGGCCATTTTCAGGCTGTTTTTTGTTTTTCTGCCAGCCTAAAAATGGCCTCAAAAACGGGCAAAAACACCCTGGTTTTTTTTGGCGTCTTTGGCTGTTTTCATGCTGTTGAATCATGCCGGCAGGGGTGGGATGCGTTCCCACAGAGAGGAGGCTCTGCATGCCACCTCTGGCCCCTGTGCCATAGGTTCGCCATCACGGGCTTAACTACTGTGGCAAGGAACGTCGTACAATAGAACAAAACTCACTTAACAACCATCTCGTTTAGCAACAGCAATGTCAGGCTCGATCGGGGGTCGTAAGTCGAGGACTACCTGCCCATCTTCCAGGCCTTATTTAAAGGGTTTTGTATTTTGTTTTGTCCCCCACGTTCAGAAACGGTGAAGCCTTGCTTAATTGGGTTGCCTTGCCTTTTCAGGCTGATCTCCACAAGAAGGAC